AAAAACATTTTGTATTTTGATCTCCATTGATAGCCATCCGTGACAACTCCGATGGTGAATGTGCTCACATGCGCCTCATTGGTAAGCATCATAGTTCCAACAACTACATTTTTATTTAATTTTTTTTAATCTCTTGTAAGTTTATAATGGAAAGATTATACAAGTTAAACACTAATTATCAATACAACTGATTTAACTCTACGTGTAAACTAAAAGAGTTTTTTTTTTCAAATAGTTTTAGACAATAATTAAATAAATTTAAGCACTTGTATTTTAAATAATTCTATACTTCATTGTATAATTATCTTCAATTAATTTTTTTTATCCAAATAGTTCATCTGAGCGATTTGATTCGATCAACACTCCTGCAAAATTACCTTTCAGCTTATCCCTAAATTTAGCTGCAAATTATAATTCTAAGCGTGGGATTAATTTGACTGTATAGACAACACATTTAGCTAACTATCTAATTAATACTAATTCTTGCTATTCTATCAATTGTTATGAAACAGCAGAAGTTAAGCAACTGTCATAATTTTGAGGTTATCAAATGGTAAAGCTTAAAACGTGTAAAACTACAGTATGTAAACGGTTATGTATACTATTACGTAGCATACAGCAAATGATCTAGTCTCTAGGGACAATGACACATACCTCCATAACAAAATTTGAATACGCTACAATTCTTAAATCCACCATGTGCTCACTCTAATCAATCTCTGAAATCGATGCGTATACGGTATGCCTAAATATATATTCAGAAAATTCACATCCTCAAAAATTTTCAAAGTTTGGTTGACACATTTGGAATTCGTTGTTTCAGATTGAATCATATAAATATAATACCTTCATTTTAAATAAATTATAACTACTTTGTTTTTTCATGATCACAGATATTTTTTTTCATAAATCGTTATCATAATCATAGGCTGACATGGTTATGTATATATAGGAATTTATCAATATCGTTTTACAAGTAATGTAAATCTAAATAAAGTACATGTTTTTTAAGATAAACTCATGTTAACATGTTTAGGTCTATATCTGTGGTTGTATTGTATACCTACCTGTTTACGTTATCTATTCTGGGTTTCACATCTCGATCCCGAGGCTCTTCTTTCCTCATACCTAGAATTCCGTTATCTGGAAAAAGCACAACTTCAAATTCCAATGCAACAACAAAACATTAAAATTCTCCAAAAAGAATTTAACAGATCAACGCGAATTTGAACCTAAAAGGCTCTGTCTCCGAGAAATTATACTATCCTTAGAATTTGCGTGCAAGTCATGAAATTGGTTGAAACTATTACTGGCCTGTTTGTGTAACGCGTATACTTACATTGAGTTTAAATGTTATAAAATTTGGACTGGTCTATAATTCGGTTTATATGTGCTTTTTTTTTTACATAAGATGTAAACAATCTGTTGACTGAGGAAAGGGAAAGGAGAAAGAAAATTGGCACAGCTATTAACATGTAAAAAATGTCGTGGACCATCACGATGATCCGGTGCAATCTTCCATAGCATTGGTTTCAAACCCAGTAGGACATGACAGATCAGCAAGTACATTGCGTAACTGAGTTGGCCCCATGAATGGAACATAAACACTAACATTATTATTTCTCGAATTTAAAAAAGAAAGGGCAATTTATCCAATAGCAGCGGTATATTTTTATAACATCTTGCCAGTTCATGAAATTATAGTGTTATATTCTATCCCATAAATCAATCACATTTAGAATCAACAGCAACAAGGTAGTGATGCTGGTGCATGTGCCTACTATTGCTTATTGCTTACATTGATAAGGAAATGGAGACTACCATGATTCCATTCCACGTCTGCATTGCTAAAATGTGAACTAATAATGGAGAATGCAAGAATAATAACTTGGCAACAGAAAACAGATGATGTACATGCATGATTGAAAGAAACTTTAAATATGAAAACAAAAAGGATGTGTGTAGGCTGGTAGGTAGATTTTTTCTTCTACTAGAGAGCCTTATTGAGAAGTTCATGCTAATTGAATACTAGCTCAGCAAATCCAGGCATTCAGCTGCACAAAAGAAAATGTACAACACATATCTGTTAGGAGTTCGGAAGTGGGATAAGTAAAATAGAAGGGTGTAAAGGAAGAAGCTTTATTCTGTTTTGTATCAATTGAGAATTGAGGAATAGCTTCATCATAAGAAGGGGAACCCTTGGAGGAGAGATCTTGCTCCTCGTTTTGTTCATTTTCAGTAAATGATTTCTTTTTCTCTGTTTTTGTTTACGGGTTCCTAACATAGTTTCAAGTGTTACATAAACTATTACAGCAAGATGTTTCATGAGCCAGTTATAACTATAAGTGAACCAAAGATTATGTCTAGCATTTAATTGCTCCAATGGGGAAACGTCTTATAGAGATATGCCTAGGCATAATCTTTGGTTAACAACGTATTTCGCTTTTCTTTTCTTTTTTTTATCTCAAAAAAGTTTTTTGTGGTTGTCCTCTCACTGTAATGGCCTCTCTCGTACAATTCTAAAAACTCATTTTTACTTTTATAAGTAAGATAAATTAATTTTCTCATTTTAAGCATTTTTTCCACATAAAATAAGAGTCAATTAATATAAAAATACAATATATATATATATAATATGAGTTTCAGTTAAAAAATAAAGAATCCATTTTTTAAAATGAAATAAATATATCCATATTTTCAGATTTATTTTTATGAAATAATCAAATACGACAAAATTTATAAAAAAAGGTGTTGACATAAAAATAAACGTATTGATTTGCATAATCATGCTAATACAATAATATAATATAGTAAATCTTTTCAGAGCTTAAACATCTGCAACAACATAAGATGAGAAAATTAAAGGCTCATAGGAAATACACAATGTCCTTAAATTAAGTCAACCATGTGCCGTATCAAACAATAGGAGCAGATTGTCTCATTCTTAACCGTTCTAACTTCTACTCTCTTTGTTTGCATTGCACTGCTCCTTTCAGGGATTTATCAAACAATATCAGAATCACGTAAGCAGAGCACTACCTCAACCACAAGTCATCAAAATACGTTAACTAAATTAAGAGTAAGACTTACCTATTTTTTATGATTTTCAATAAACTTCATCAATAATAAAATTATTTTCAAAAATATATCAAAAGATGTGTTTTCCTTAATTATATAAGAAAAAATGAATTCTACAAATACACTTTCAAATATTTTTTTAATTACTTGTCAAGTTTATTAAAAATTACAGAGAAATATAAGTGAAATTCAAAATTTTAAGTTATATTTACATAATTTTTATAATTTCAGTTAATAATGAATAATATACTTGAAAGAATGTTGTAACCTGAAACTTGAGTGTCACGCTTTGGCAGGTTTAGCTCCTATTGAACTTGTTGACAGATGGCCCAAGAAAAAAAGCTTACAAACGTGCATAGAACCCAAACCCGAAGCAAACTCGTGTTGTTGCTATAGCATCGAGCCCGCGGCAGGGAAAAACCCATAGGGGGAAAATACATGTAGCATAGATAAAATCAATAATTGATATTTACTAAAATTAGTATTGATCTTACTATTTGTTACGAAAAAAAAAATAACACAATGAATCCATTCTACCACTATTAGAAATTAATCACTGTATAAATTTGTTAATCAATTAATTACTTGTTCAATTATTTGACTATGTTTAAATTTTTTACTTCAATCTCTTTATTATAAATAAAAATACTTTGTCTAGCAATGAAAACGTCCAATAAAATTATTTTCTTTCACAATTTGTCATTTATTTTCTTTTAAAATTAAATCTGTTTAAGAATAATATGTAATTTTTTTTATAGTTGTGATAATTTTATATTTTATTGACTTTTGTTATTAGTTTATTTTAAAGGTCAGAGATAAAATTTGTTATTTAATTTTTTATTAATTTATATAAATATTCAGATTCTTCATGAATTTTAATATTTATATTTATAATTTTTCTTATTATTTTATATAAATTTCAAAATTTAAAAAATGTATTTACATGAATTTATAATATTTAATATATTATTTTTATTTTTTAAAAATATATTTTAAATTTATTATTATTTTATTGTGTATATATATATATATTGTTTTAAAATAAAATACTTGTGTATTGTACATGGTACTAGATATATATATATATATATATATTTCTTCTAATTATTTATTCCTTGGATGGAAAGATACTTGATTTATAACTTAGTTATTTTTTATAATTTTATTAATCATTTTAAAATATTTTTATTGACTTTTGATTCTACTTGTCATTTTTTTATGATACCTCTTTCACTGTTGTTAATATATATCTTTTAATTTGTTATATTTTCTGTCTTATTTTCTCTTCTTTCTCTAAGTCTAGCTTTATTTTTATTTTAGTATATTTTAAAGCAAAATGTATTTTAAAATCATTTAAAATTTGAATTTTAATGTTAGTTTAAAAGTTTTGTGCTAATATATTATATTAATAAGAATGATGTAACTTGTTTTAAATAAATATTATATATTTTTTCATCACTGTTAAAGTTTATATATTGGATTTAATCTTATTTCGTACAATAAAACATTTACTATTTTAAACAGTTTTATTTGGATTAAAAAAACTATACATTACAAGAGAGGCTTAATAATTATAAATCCGTTTGAATCAAATTTTTAGACTGAAAATGTGAATTAAATATTATTTTAATAAAGAAGTTTGATGACAATTAAAAACCTACTAATAAGATATATTCAATAAATATAATTTTAATTGTGTTTAACATTAAATAAAAATAATTTCACAGATTAGGCAAATTAACTAGTTGATAAATAAATCAAAGGTATCTTATATGGATTAAATTTAAGATACTAAGGCTGGTTAGAGAAATTTGCTGTCTAGTATTAGTATCATACATGAATTCAAATTGAAATAAAAAAGAATCTAAACGAAATATCCTGTATTGGCTGTAAATTTCATTTGATTTTGAGTAAAGTAAATGGTAATTTCATGGTTTCAGCGGAGAAATTCCCATTCACACGCGCACACATAACATAGATACCCGCATACTATGTTCACTTCTTGTTCACAGTAGGGTTGTGTTTCAATTGATTTGCAGCACGCAAAACGCCACCCTCCTCTTTCTCTCGTGACGCCTATCATTTCATTTCATTCTCTTACAATTTAATCTCTCACTACCATCGCTTTCTCTCTCATCTCTCTGCAACAATGGGTGCTTCTCTCCCCTCTAAGGAGGCCAACCTCTTCAAGCTTATTGTTGTAAGCTTCGATTCGCTCTCTTTTTTTTGTTGCTATTTTTATTTGCTTTTCTGCTTCCTTGTCGTCGCTCAATCTTGCTTTAATCACTCTATCATGCTCACTCGATTGCTTCCCCATCGTAAAACCCTAGATACTGTTCTCTGCTTTAATGTTAGCGCGCGTTGTCACGCTATGTTCGGTTACTGAGAATCTGTGGGACTCTGGAAGAAGAACTGTTTGGGATCTTCGGTTTAATTTTTTTGTAATTTGGTATGGAGCTTTTACGTCTTCGGGGAATTGATTGTTTGCTGCTTTGGTGTTTTAGCTTGCTGGCTTCACTGTGCTCTTTATTTTTGCATAGGAAGCAGTTTCTTTCGGTACTGAAAATGCGTGAGAAAAGTTGAAAGGCAAGAAAATTGAGACATTAAGTTAAATCGTGTAGTGCTTTTTTTTTTTTTCGTGATTGTGAGACTGAGTTGTAACTTCTTACTCGGAGTTTTGGCTCTTGAGGGGATTATGGAAGGTTGAATATTCCGCGCGTTAGTTTGAGTTTATCGATTCTCCGTATTTTCACTGGTATCAGAATGACTGTGGATGTGGTTGATTGCTTTTATCAATGTATGTGCGAGACTACATAACTTAATCATTTGGCTTTGCTGTGAATAATAAAAGCCACAATGTTTGGAATTAGTTGTTGACTCTATAAGGGATTAAAACTGAAAACATGAAAGTAGTTGGAGTGAATTCCTTTTCTTTGACATTGTTCTTGTTATTTCTAATAGGTTTTCCTTTGAGATTTAGTTTTCTCTACGTGAAAAATCCCATTGTTGCTAACAAGCTTATGTAATTAAAATTTGATCATCTTATCATTAGGAAATTTATGTGAGTGAAACAATATTTGTATTTTGAGGTGGTGTATAATTTTGACGTGGTGGTTATTTGTCCGTTCTTCTTACTACAGAAATCATATGAAACCAAACAATATAAAAAGGGCCTCAAAGCAGCCGATGCCATTTTGAAGAAATTTCCAGATCATGGAGGTATACTTATTTTCTTGGCAATTATTTTCAAAGTTTTTCCTCATGACCAGGTGACATTTGCAATGCTATTCCCCCCCTAACACAACTTCCCCCTTTTTTATCTCTTCTTTCTTATTTGCAGCATATTCTGGTTTTTTTTATATACTTTTATTTACATGTCTGTTCCATGTTTTGGATGATAGAAACTTTGTCGATGAAGGGTTTGACGTTAAATTGCATGGATCGTAAGTCTGAAGCATATGAACTTGTTCGTCTAGGATTAAAGGTCTGTATGTGGTCTTTGATTTTTTCTATCATTATCAATCTTACAATCTGTCTGTCAGTTGATGCAGCTTTAATTTTTGTTCTGGTACAGAATGACGTTAAAAGTCATGTTTGCTGGCATGTTTTTGGTCTCCTTTATCGATCAGACAGAGAATACAGGGAGGCAATCAAGTGCTACCGAAATGCACTGAGAATAGATCCTGACAATATTGAAATTCTCCGTGACCTATCACTCTTACAGGTAGCATTTTAAATGCATCTGGACATAACACTGTCCTTTTGGCACTTGATTGTAATCTGCATTCTACACATTTAATGAGTAGCTTAGGTTTCCTAAGAAGTCATATGAAATATATGTCCCAACAGAAAGTAACTAAGAGATGGGTTACATGAAGAAGTTTCTAAAACTACGGTTGATCACATGAACCCAAAGCTCTAAATTTCAAAAGCTTGAATGTTCCAAGAACAATCGTTACTTAAACAGGAAATATTTAAAAAATAGTTATGCAGTTTTCCAAAATCCCTGTTCTGCATGGTCTGGATCTTTAAATTCACACATAATTCTTCTATGGTCAAATTAAATGTTAATTATCTGTTAAAGCTGAAGATGCAAGGAGATAATTATGAGTGGATGACTAGATTTCATAAATTTGTTATCTTGAATCATGAAGCTCAACTGAAATAAGTTAGCGAGAGTGATGAAGTCCTAATGACACAAGTAAACCCTAGATTGGTCCAAATATCCCGTGCTTTGGTGAATGTCTATCTTAAGTGGGGCAAAGATTTGAGAGCATTGCCCGTGCTATTTAAAAATGTCAGAGCAAATGCAAATGATATTGTTTCCTTTGACAGATTTTTAGGTGACTTATTTTCTTGTTGGTCTAATGTATCTATCCTACAGTAATAACTGCTGTATGAATAGTTGAGTGATGGGTACAAAATTCAATTGGTGTGTCCTTGTGACTTGCCCATTATTAGAATTTGTGAGAAAGCTTGAGCATGTATTCAACAATATGTTATCTGATGAAACTTCCTGCAAATAATCTGTTAAACGTTTTGAGTAAACAAAATGCTACTTTTTAAGTTGAAGTTGAGTTGGGGTGTTCTAGCATCCCAATACTTTTTACTAGGAACGTCCTATGTTGCTTTAAAGATTAGTTTATCTAATCATCACACTCTACTATATTCCACTCACTGTGAACTGGAGCACAAACATAATCTGCTGTGCTATTGTACTGTATGCCTGTTACTTTTCAAGAACTATATATGTATATGATTATATTTTCAGTGATTTTTTTGTGATGCAATTAATTTGTCTCATGATGGTGCTTTTTGCTCTTCACTCACAGGCACAAATGCGAGATTTAACAGGTTTTGTTGAGACAAGACAACAACTTTTGACTCTAAAGCCAAATCATCGCATGAACTGGATTGGATTTTCTGTTGCCCATCATTTGAACTCTAAGTATGATTTGGATCGTTATTGAATTAAATTTTTTCCCAATTGGTGACAGTAAAAGTATGTTGATCTTAATTCTTTTTTCTTTTGGATAAATGTTTCTGCTGTATTATTTATCTGTGTTGATACAATAGTCGTTATTGGCACCTACTGTATTTTCTTCTCCCTCTTTTTTCTATAAAAAATGTGTAATTGGAAGTTGTGCTGTTCTTTGCAAGAGTTTCCCTATTTGTAGGTTATATAGATGGCCTTAAGGACCTGAGATTGGGTGGTTGGGGGGGGGGGGCGCTTGGGAGGAGGATGGAGTGAACCTACAACATCAAGCACAACTTGATCGTAAACACTAGCACTAGTATCATATGAGCTATTAGCTCATTAACAGATACTATCTTGTCTTTGTATAATCTGCAGAGTTCTCAACTTGTTACTAAGTTAATATATAAATATTGAAGCTTTCACCATTCACAAGCATTTCGGTATTCTTGTGAATCTTGTCAGTCCCTATTTATATGTTTCCTTTTTTATGAACCTGGTATTTGAATGTAGTGGTCATTTTTGCCATGTGCCAAAATTTGGATTCTGATAGTTTGTAATATGGTTTTGTATAAACAATGTGAATAGATCATAAAATTTACTTTAGGTAGAAAATTTGACAAAAATGAGGTTGTGGTGTTTGATTTGAGGAACTGTTGGAAATACTTGTTTGTTTGAGAACCAATTACACGGTATGTTTACTCAAAAGGTCCTTCATATCCTTTAGTCACTGATCTCTATGCTATGAGAACGTGGATCATATCATTACTTTGGTTTTGCTTTTATTATAAATGGTTATTGTTGAAATGCCCTGATTTTGTTCTTTCGGTAGTTTGTAATACTGACCTTTTGAATGTGTTAACAGTGCATCAAAAGCAGTTGAGATTTTGGAAGCGTATGAGGGGACTTTAGAAGATGATTATCCTCCAGAAAATGAGCGGTGTGAACATGGGGAAATGCTCTTATACAAGGTTTTCCTCTGGCAGTGTGTCTGCAGCCGTTTCTTGTTTAATGTGTAATGCTTTTTCAGATATTATTAGGTGCTTGATGTAACTTTTACCTTGATTAACCATTTGCATACACAGTGAAAAATTGATTTGTGATCTCACTATTATATATCAAAATTTGCATATATCTAACCAGTAATATTTACTTTAAAACTGTATGAGAGGATCTTGTGACACTGAAGTCTATGCTTGAAGAGAGTTTTAGACATGTTGACCTTTTCTGTCAAACCCTGTGATCTAGATGGTTTTGTGAACTTTTGGAGATTGTTTTATTGGCTTGTTGGACTGGCAATTCAGAAATAGTTAAAAAATTATGGGAGTGATTGTCTAGTAAAAGTCTTGGTGTTGGTGACTTTTTTGAGGCATTATGTGACTGGGAAATAGTTCATTTGTGCTCCAGTTTGATCACACAACCCAAACACCAGGTGGAGTAAAATAATAATACCCATTATTAATTCTCAGGTTGACCCCTAGGTGGAGTTCACTGTAATTTGACAATTTGAATATGGTCAGACCCTTGGTAGTGTCATTGAAATGGTTTTTGGGATGGTCCTTCATATGCTGATGATACCCAGTATCTGCTATGGCTTTATATATCAAATGGAAATTTTTTCATTACTTTGATTCTAAAATTAAAGAGTTTGATTGATATATAATTCTACTCAAATTACAATTTGTTGAATTTAAGTGTTTTTGCTGTCAATTCTACTGTTGAATGTTCAGGAATATGAAATCCTTCTTACGGTTTGATCATTGATAGTATTTTCTCCTATGATGGTGCTTCTCTGCACCAAATATTATTGCCCAGATCTCTTTGCTAGAGGAATGTGGATTTCTTGAGAGAGCTTTGGAAGAGCTGCACAACAAAGAATCAAAAATTGTACGTGTTTTATTTACCTGCATAATTTTATAATGTAACTAATGGGTGGTATATAATTTGCTTCTGATTTTTTCGTTCTAGGTTGATAAGCTTTCATATAAAGAACAAGAAGTTTCACTTCTAGTAAAGCTTGGTCACTTGGAAGAAGGTGAAGCATTGTACCGGGAATTACTTTCCATGAATCCTGATAATTATAGGTGATCTCGATGGCCTCTTCTAGTTTGGGGTTGGAGTGTCTCAAGTCTCAATTGATTAGTCTTTTCTAGATGTTATTTTTTTTGTGTTTTCCCCTGTTGTTATTGTTTTCCTCTAATTGTTAATGTTTTCTTTTTCGACCTTTTTGGCTTCTCAATTTTTTTTTTCTATACACAAAAGTTCCCTTTTAGATACTCAAATGTGTTTCAAATGGTGAAAACTAAGAATAATATATTTTGTTGTAGGTTGCTCGTTTATACTTTTGTCTTTACTGCAGCTTTTATTCTCACTACCATTTTTTCTGATGACTTGTAAATTATATGCATGTTCGTATGTATGTATGTGTGCGTATAAACTGTTTTGCTTGTCAGTTTTTTTTATCTTGATTGGTTTTGTTCATATTCTATGCTATGAATCAATTGAACATTCTTTGTACTTATTTTGAAAAAGTATACTTATTTGCATATTATGATAGGTTGCTGGATTATAATTTCTCTTTTGGGCTTAAAAAGTTTCAAGGATGCTTTCATTGAAAAATTCATGCGATAGTTTTTGTCAAATGTTTTAAACTTCAGGCTAGTGATTGAACTTGCGAAGGCATTGGTTGATGGTTTAGTGGTTCAGTTGTGGTTTGAACTGGTCATAATTAAATATTTGTTTTTAATATTATTTAATATTTTAATAATAAACTAACACAATCATAAAATTTTCAAGTTAGGCAAAATTTTAAATTAGCATGATGAATCATGTTATTTGTTCTTCAAGATAAAAATTAGCAATCCATATGTGGACTTCGCATGTGAGCCTTTGTTTCTAAATTTTGAATTTGAATAAAAATAATAATAAATTTTAAGTTCAAAAACCTTTTTTTTTTTGAGAAGATTGATTCAAGCCATTTTTTTTTGCTCTGCCTGTTCTCTAGGTTGTTCAAATTGGTTAGTTTGGTCCAGTTTTTCCATCAATGGCCTCTGCTGAAGGACTTCTTTGCTTATATAAGTTTATTAGAAAGGGAAGAGAATAGAAAAATAGTACAATCAAGGGAGGATAAGATGTACTCCAAAACATAAAACTAGACTTCTCCATTATTCTATTATATGAGATCATATGTGTTCTTTTCTGTTTGTCGAATACTATCTTCCAGTGGATGTTCAGCTATACTGCTATCTTAGAGTCCTGAAACATTATAAACTTCATAGTTATATTGGCCACCTTTTTTGTCAGTTTGGTACTGGAAGCTGTTGTTTACCTAATTTCTTACAGAGGAAAATGTAGGCTCTGCTGAAAGTTAGATTGTGATATGCAGTGTGCACGTTGTCCTATTTTTCAGAGAGTATTTTTCTTTATCGCTAGTCACCAGTGTAATTGAATGAGGGGATGATTTTGGTTCAGTTGCTTTAATTTTTGTTTTATTTGGTTCTGTTTGGTTTGATAAACTTTCTACACTGTTGGATTTTGCCTATATGATATTACTGATTTTGTAAACTATTATATGCCGAATTTTAGTTCATACTTCATATTGCCATTCAGATACTATGAAGGTCTCCAAGAGTGTGTTGGGTTATATATAGAAGATGGCCAGTTGTCTGCTGATCAAATAGATCAGTTAGATTCTTTGTACGAAACACTTGCACAGCAATATAAGTGGTCTTCTGCAGTTAAGGTAATGTGGTGTGTTGTAGTTATTAATACCTTTTTTTAATATCTTGCTTTCATGTATCTCAATTATCACTTTGCTAACGTATCTGCTATATTATGTATGTAAAGATATATATGTCTGTATCTTTGTATCACTTGTGATATTTTCAGTACTTGCTTTCACTGGAAATGGGTTTTTCCATTTCAAGATTACTTTGTTGTCATCCATTTTCTTTGGAGGCATGAATTAGATTGTTTATTGCTTTATAATTGAATTGAGTGTTCCCTTAGCATAATCAGTGTGGTCATAGTATTCTAGTGTTTTCACCTTTCTATGACCATTTTAGAGAATGCATAAAAAGAAAATCCTTGTTTTGGTCACTTCTTCATGAGTACATCTTCCTGAATAGTATGTAGTATAGACAAATGCTTGGTGTGCTGCTGCTATATTATCAGAATGAGTATTACTGTCTGGCTGCACAATTTCTTAGTTCATGCTTTTGATCTTTATGTTTGCCAGAGAATACCACTGGATTTTCTACAAGGTGACAAATTTCGAGAAGCAGCTGGCAATTATATTAGGCCTCTTCTAACCAAGGTATACAAAATTTCTTTTCTTATCATATTATACCTAGTTTAGTTGTTTCAAAATTGATTGAGATTTCTTTTGGTGTTGTTTCTAGGGTGTTCCATCTTTGTTCTCTGATCTTTCCTCTTTGTACAATCAACCTGGGAAGGTCAGCTTTATCACCTACATTTCTGTTATTGAAAGAGTTTAGGATTTCTAATGATTGAATTTTTCTGCCATTATATATATTATGATGGTGAAAAATTACTGATTCTGGGCTTTTGATTGTTTCATTTTCTTTTTCTTATTGTCCAGGCAGACATTTTGGAACAACTTATTCTTGAATTAGAGCTTTCAATTAGGACATCTGGCCAATATCCTGGGAGGTAAAATATTTTTGTCGTGTAACACATTGACAAAGTATAATGTTCATATGGTGCAAATGTTATCTTGGAATCTCTTGGTTAACTCTTAAATGAAGAGTAGAAAACTTCTAGCCAAACATAGCTGTCCAATATCTTTGCAGTTCTGTAACTGAAATTCCCTTACCATGGGCAAGGCACCAAAATGAACCATAAACACATAGCTACCTGTGACATAGCAAAGAGCCTTTTGATTGGTACTTTGGAGTTCCTTTCTTGTACTATATAACCAACCACTGCTTATCTTTTATACAGGGTGGAAAAAGAACCCCCTTCAACCCTGATGTGGACTTTGTTTTTATTGGCTCAGGTGGGTGGCTATTCTTTGTTTATTAGATTTCTTATCCCCTTTCACTGAGAGAATTTGTTCTGGTGCAGCATTATGACAGACGGGGCCAATATGAAATTGCACTTTCTAAAATTGATGAAGCTTTAGAACATACACCGACAGTCATTGATCTATATTCTGTCAAGGTTTGCTTTGAGTTATAAATGCTTCTGTGTCTTCTGGGATTATTTCATTACTTTGCAGTGGTTTTGTTATAAGGCTTTATATTGTAATTAACAGAATAGCTCTACAAATTAAATGACAATTAACTATGTGGTTTGATCTTATTTATCATAAGATTTTCTGTGGCGGAAACAAAATAATTTGTGCTGGAAACTGAAATTACATGTAGACCATTGGTTATTTGTGAGTATTTTGCATCTGGCAAGCTGAGTTACATAAGCTGCTGGCTCTTTTAATTTCGTGTGTTTCTGTGTGAAGCCTTTCTACTAAATAGCATGTTTTATTTGCCCTTGATCTTGCAGTATAAAACATGTTGCTCAACTCATTTCAGAATGTTTGAGTGCCTGATATTTATTTATTATTCTGGTAAAATGAAGATAAGATATTTTGTGTTCTGGACGGAAAATAATAGTTACAATGTTGCAAATTTAATACAACATAAGAATTTTTTCAGTTCTATTTTACTTTGAAAAAAATAGGGAAATGAATATCATAAGTATGTCCTTAAATGCTTGCCACAGAGAATCGATAATCAAAATTTTCAATGTGTATTGGTATTTTAAAGATTTGGAGTTTCAAATGAGACTTACCTTCACCCCTACTGCTGCCCTGGACCCAACCAGACTTGGTGACAACTTAGCTAGTTTTACAAACAATAGAATCATCATAATCATTTGTCTGTTTTATACAGATTAATATCATTGTGTCAGTTTTGATGATTTAAGCTATTATGATTATCCCCAATTTTATTGGCATCCGTTATTCTTGAGAATCTGATTAATCAGTTTGCTTCTGATAACCATGATTCGTGCCATGTTTACTACATATCCTACGAGTATGAAGATGTCAAAGAATTTGGGGAAATTCGTGCTAGGGGTTAAAACATGGTATTCTTAAAAATTAAAACTAGTTAGATGATTAAGTCACATGTGGGGCCAAGTGTGTGTGAGACTATGGATGGGTAAAATGAATTGAAACTGACCTTGGATTTATGAGTGCTATCTTCAACAGTCTAGCAAAATTGAAAGATTGTTGCTTGTCTGTGTAACAGAGCCGGATACTGAAGCATGCTGGTGATTTGGCTGCTGCTGCTGCATTTGCAGACGAAGCTAGGTGCATGGATCTTGCTGATCGTTATGTTAACAGTGAATGTGTTAAGCGTATGCTGCAAGCTGATCAGGTTTTTGTCTATCTTTCCATTGCATTTGAATGTTAACTACACAGGCTTTTCTGACTCTGCTTTATTTATATGTTGCCTTGATACTAAGGTGGCCATGGCCGAAAAAACTGCTGTATTGTTCACTAAAGATGGGGATCAACACAACAACCTTCATGACATGCAATGCATGTGGTCGGTAAATAGTTATATCTTAATATTCTGAACTATGCAATGAATATCACTGTTTAATTTATTAACTTGTCACATCTATGTATGGAAGGTATGAGCTTGCCTCAGGTGAAAGCTATTTCCGCCAGGGTGATCTTGGACGGGCTCTCAAGAAATTTTTAGCAGTGGAGAAGCATTATGCTGATATTACGGAGGACCAATTTGATTTTCACTCATACTGCTTACGGAAAATGACTTTGCGTACTTATGTAGAAATGCTTAAATTTCAAGACCAATTGCACTCCCATGCGTATTTTCATAAAGCAGCAGCTGGTGCTATCAGGTGAATATCATATATCTTCTGTTGGTATATTGCTATACTGAATGAGTTTTATGCATGTCAATGTTGTGTGGTGCTTTCATTAGCGGTGCTATGGGAGTTGGAAGCTCTTTACTCATACTTGAGGTGCAATGTGTATTGGGAAATAAATTTGTGATTCTTTTAAATGTTTTTCTTTGTTTACTGTGGGACCAAGATTTTTCTGACACATGCTTCAAGTTTGGTGTGAGTTTATGGTTTTATCTCTTAAACAGCGCTCCTCATGGACTGCTATAACTGATTCTGCTTTTATGATCTTATAAGTGTAACACTTTGAGCTGCAGATGCTATATTAAGTTGTATGATTCTCCACCGAAGTCTTCAGCAGAGGAAGATGATAATATGTCTAAGTTGCTTCCTTCTCAGAAAAAGAAAATGAGACAAAAGCAGAGAAAGGCAGAAGCAAGAGCTAAGAAAGTATTGTACTCAATTTCTACAGCTTCAGTAGAACTGCCTGTGGAAGGTATTTATTTTATTTTTTTATTTTGTCTTTAGGAGGCTGAAGAAAAGAATGAAGAGTTAAGTGCCAGTGGGGTATCAAAGTCTGGGAAACGGCATGTAAAACCTGTTGATCCTGATCCAAACGGGGAGAAGTTGTTGCAGGTTAGAAAGCATGAAAAATATCCAATAATATTGTTATGTCTATGAGTATGGTAGTATCTTAAGTTATCTGTTGTTTCTGCTTTTCCTCGTTATCTCTTTCTTTTGTAGGATTGTTTTTCATATTTCCTTACATTTCATGATCTGTTTCCCTATTTCCTTACCTATTAGTGGTATACCTCTAGCGTCTAGTCTATTTAGTCACTTTGTAATCCATAGTATTTAGTCTCTACACTCTACTTTCCCTTCTTCTATTTAAAATCCTATAATTTCATTCAGTGCATGGAAATAAAACTTTCCTGAGTTCATTTAAAAGATGAGTAACTGTAGATTACCATTCTGGTGGTTGTCATCCTGCATATTCACAGTTTGGATCTTGGCAGAAAACCCTATCTATCTAAAATCATCACGGGATGTTATCAAAACGTTTTAGAAATACATGAATACAAACAACTTAATTTTTCCCCCTACTCATCATGATTTGGGAGGGAGTTGCAAAGCATCTTGCCTAGGTTTTGTGATATATGGGTAGATAGGGTTTAGATTCATTTTGTAAATTTGAATAACTTTCCAAGTGTTCCTATGTATTTTTTTTTTCAATTAACATATTTTTAAACATATAAATTATATGGTGTTTAACTGACTAAAATTCTATATTGAACAAATACTGACTTTTTCTGTTAAATTATGTGCATGACATATGGAAACAAAAACTGTTCAAATAAGTATGATGCACAGTAATATCAATTTTATCAACCACACATTTTAATGTCAAATTGTTTCTGCACATATTTGTTTTAAAAATTCACCTTTTTCTGTGTGTTTTTCCTTAGGTTCAAGATCCACTGTCAGAAGCTACTAAATACTTGAAGTTGCTGCAGAAGAATTCACCCAATTCCTTGGAGACACACCTGCTCTCTTTTGAGTTATACACAAGGAAACAAAAGATTTTGCTTGCTTTTCAGGTATGATATGAGGAACCTAGTAACTTATTTTATGTGGCATCATTTTGTTCATTTTTGAGTAATCTTGTTAGACAAGTACTTAATGCCAATAATTTTATTTGGCACATATTGTGAGTTATACACTTTGTTTATTACTTTACACTATGATGCCTATTAAAAGTGTTTTGTTCTGTGTCTTTGGAGTTGTAGGCTGTGAAGAAGTTACTGAGATTGGATGCTGAACACCCTGATTCTCATCGATGCTTGGTATGGTGTCTCCTCTGAAGAAAAAATTGTTCGGTGTTAGCAAGTCTACTTTATAATATTTTTCATATTAAAATATTATTAATAATTATTGTAATAGTAAAAGTTGTTATTATAATTGCAATACTTGATGTTTGTTGTACATATCATGAATTTCATGAAAAGCATCTGGCAGAGGTAGTCAAAAGAAAAAAAAAATGTAATATTGGATTTGGTACCAGCTACTTCTGGTGTGTTTTTCAGTTTCTTTTTTCTGATTTTCCACATTGTGATTTTTCTTTCCTACATCACACACAAAAGGAGGAATGTGCTGGCATTTATTTCAGTCCATATGTTGCAGATTAAATTCTTCCATAACGTGGGATCCATGAATGCTCCGGTGACTGACAGTGGCAAACTGATTTGGAGTGTCTTAGAAGCTGAGCGCTCAAATATCAGGTTCTGGACGCAGCTGTTTTCACTCTTTTTTCCCTTTTGTTTGTTTTAGACTGGCATCTTCAAATCTTTTTATTCATTTTATAATATGATTTGATTTTAACTTAATCTGTTTATTTCTTTTGTGCAGTCAGCTGCATGAGAAATCTCTGTTTGAGGCAAACAACTCTTTCCTTGAAAAGCATAAAGGTCAGAGTGAGCATTATCATCAACATGGCAACACATATCTTTCAAGCTTCTTTATGTAGATATCTTTAATTTATTTTTCTGTTCTTTGCAGACTCTTTGATGCATAGAGTAGCTTTCTCTGAAATCTTGTACATTTTGGATTCAAACAGAAAGTTTGAGGCTGTTAAGTTCATTGAGGAGTCAACAAATAACACTGTGCCTAGGTAATGCTTTACAACATTTTAAGCATTCTGCTATTAAGCGCATTCAACTCTTCTTGTATATCACTCTGTTTAATGTGTTTCTGACCCTGCCGCGACACACTTGAGCTGGTGGAATATAACCATCCTGTTCCAAAAGTGCTGAAGGGCGTTTCTGTGAAAGACAGTCCCTTGTGTTGTTTTTAATTTTAATTTTTTGAAAAGGTTGCCTAGTGTTTTTATCATCACTGTCAATAGTGCATGACAGCAGTGGTGCGTGGGGGAGAGCAGCCTTTGGCTGCCACAGATCTGGCTTAGCAGAGTTTGCTGTCATGGCCATCAGGAGCATCATGGCTGTATTCGCAGCCCAAGACACAGCCTTTCGCGGGGTAATAGTGCCACCATAGGGAAAGATACCAACTTTCCTTTTCTACCTTCACAAAGGAATTTTAGGATTTTTTAAGGGTAAAAAATACTTCTAACCTTTTAGAAATGAGCTGATTTTTCCTTTTTGTCCTTAAGATGACACTGTCTAGGGGTTTTTTATGGGTAACATAGTCTTCTCAGTTTTCAGACCGAACCTCACTTTTCCCCATGTTTTTTCTTCTTCCTTTCTCTCTTTGACACCCCTTCCTCTCATATCTATTGCTGTCCTGCTTTGCAGCTGGAGACACATGACAAAACCCCACTTTTCTCCATTTTTTTTCTTCTCCCCTTCTCTGGTCGATGCTCCCTCCTGTCATCTTTGTCTCTGTTCTGCTTTGCAACAATCTCCAATCCCAGAGAGTCACTCATCTTCAAAGACTTCTCCGGCAAATCCACTTCCTTTCTTCTCTCTATTTTATGATTCTACAGTCCTGCCTCTTATGTTCTCTGGGAAAATCCACTTTCTTTCTTCTCTGTCTTTTGTTGATAATTATTCATATGCTATTTATGCTTTTTTTTTTAGCATTATATACATAATTATCTGCATATGTATATATTTGCATATAAAAAACTTTAAAATACTGGTTACCTTGCTATGCGCTATCCTGCTATAGTGTTTTGAGGGTTGTCCATCATGCACCGCTATCTGAGATTAACAACTATGGTTTTTATTTATTCCTGATAATATTATGGAAAATGTAAGATGTAGTAGATCAAATAAAGCATAGCAGACTACCAACAAAATTGTATAAGTTAAACTGAGGATGTTAAAATAAGGTGACAATTTTTATTTTTAGAAGTGCCTGCATGTATTGATGGTTTTGTTTGTATCTTTTCATAGAATTAATGGACTTTCTCGTGTCAATGTTCATGTTTGTGTCTGTGTGTTCTTTACAAGCTTGATCCTTTTGTTTCTCTTTAAGATTCATTTATTGGTTTTCTAATCTGAGTAATGGCAATAATGAATCTGTCAATAATATCTTGTGTTAGAAATGGAGCTCTTGGACCAATCACGGAATGGAAACTTAGAGACTGTATTGCAGTTCACAAACTTCTTGGAAAAGTTCTTGCTGACCAGGATGCTGCATTGAGTAAGTATAACTGGGACTTTGGATTGCCTGATTAGTTTTTCTTTTGGTTGCCCGTAAGGACCAGTGCATATTGTAATTTTAGTCCATGTTGTTTGCCATAGATGATGCTTATGATTTCCATGATGTGATTGTATTCATTTTCCTGTGCCAAAACTTTTTTGCCTCTTGAAGGTTAAATAATTAGTAATTGCTTTGAACATGATTTTCTGTTTTTAAGGAAAAGAGGACAACGATGAAAATTGTTTGATAAAACATTTAGTGATTTTTTGCCACTATTCTGGGAATGGGGTCAATGGCCTTCAAAACTTTTCTGAAAGGGGTCCATGTTCATCAAAATTCAAAATTTTCCATGTTTTTGTTTTGATATTTCGTTCAAGTCCAAATTAGGAGTTTTTGGTGCCTAATTTTCTTCAATCTTCACCTATTTTTGTGTTGTCTTGGTTTGTTTTTATTCCGTTTTCTTACTTGAATTTAACCTTCTGTAATAGTGCATTACGAGATAAATTGTTTACTCTTGCAGGATGGAAAGTGCGTTGTGCAGAATACTTCCCTTATTCTACATACTTTGAGGGATGCCGCAGCTCTGCCTCTCCCAACTCGACCTTGGATCAGTTAAGTAAGCACTCTGAAAATGGTTGTCAAAATGTGGGGTCCATCACATCAAATGGGAACCTAGAGGCACTTAAAGATCTCACTATCTGATTAAGTCAAATTCATCATGAGGCTAAGGGATACGCAATTACCCAGTTTGGATGCATATAAGACCAAACTGCATTTGACACTCCCAGAATCGACTGCGTTGCAGTTTGCAGCAACAAAGGTCACAGTTTTGGTGCGGGTTATGGCAAAACTCTACACACGTCTCTCCGATGTATTTTCTTTGCACGATTTATCTCTCCCAGCTGTGAAATGTATTTGGTTTGCAAATGTGTATAATTTTACCTCAATTGTCTTAGGATTGACTTTTTTTAATTTGTTCACCCTTTTTCTGAGAGGTGGTAGACGGGGCTCCATGGATTTGCACCATTGTCTTTGGTTATCATTTTGGTCGTTGGAAGAGCTACAGAATTTTAGGTTTCTAGTTCTGCATCCAGTCAACATAAATATAAGGAGAGCATGTTGTATCTTTCCTATTTTATTTCCTTATTCGTCATGTATAAACATTAAATCATGTGAAAATTTTGCTACTGGATGCCGAATTGACATCTGTAATTTTGGATGAATTCAGTTAAAAAAAGAGGTTAGTAGTACTGTTGTATTTAGTTAGCAGTTAACTTGCAGTCACAGCGAAATGAAATGGTTCTGTTTTAATTTATTTCTCTTTGGTTTTACCATTTTTTTTGTTAAACTCATACATCAACTTTATACACACCATAATGATATTTTAGTCGCATCTCTACTTCCATTACTTGAGATAAGCCACATAATAGATGATAAGGATTCTGCACAAAAGGAAAAGAAAGTTTGCAAGGACGATGTTGGAATGGAGTTTTGAGGAGGATATATACACGAGGAAAACTAGGAAACCTTGGCATAGCATGATCACTGATTTGATTTTCAAACGTCTTTTATTGCGATATTTTGCCTCATGATGTAGACATGCTTAAGAATCCACGGTTCATTTTTCTCGATACTTATTTCGTGTCGTGCTTTGTATATATTTATTATCTCACATCGGTAGTTTCTATTAGTAGTTGAGGACACGCTACAGGAGAAACAAGATTAGGGTTCAATCTTCACAAGATTCACTCGCCCTAGTCTTGTGTCCATATACTGTTTAGGTACTATTAGAGTGTCCTTTCCCTAGGTTTACAGTTACAGGCCCTACAAAAAGAGAAAATATTGCACACATTTTGATTTTATATTTTAATCTTATATAGCATGTCTATTTTTTACCTGGAACATGAAATGAAATGATTCCCAATGAGATTTTTTTTTCCAAGTTTGTTCAATTAGATTTTGTGCTTATTTAATGGAAGTTTGGATTCACGTTTGAATGATTATCGATTTGTGTTTGTAACTTTTACATTAGATTCGAGTGTACATAATTTTCAACATGTTTCCGAGCAAGCAATTATTTTGCAGTTTGACAATCTAAACTTGATTTTAAAATATCAAAGCAAAGGTTAAAATGAAAAAGTATGATTTACGAGGCATAACGAGTGACAGTGATTTTATTTTATTTTATTTTTCAGTCCTTCCATGATAGATTCTGAAACTTTACGAATCAGGCGCTTTATTTGGGTATAAAATGTTTCAAAAAGCTGATTTTAAAAACAAAAACTGTCAAGAAAAAGGGAACAGAGATTATAAAATGTGCAGTTTTGGTAAAAATTAGGGATGCATTTGGGTAAATGACTTTACTGAGTGTTTAGTTAATAAATTCTTATTGCATGACTTACGTTCTAAATTTGATTATATAACTTTTGAAAAAAACAAATTAATTTCTTTTTAGGAGTGCTTGCAGTTCCCATAATTACTTCAATTATTTATTTGAATTATTTGATTGTGAATGTCGGTACACGTATGCTTGTATACCGTTGTACCTTGTTGAAATTTATGATAATTTTTATTTATAACATTAGAAAAAGCAAAAATCTCATTATATTTAAAACAAAAACGGACTATCACATACGACTCTAATTTTTTCATTTAATTTGAAATCCTATCAATTTACAAATTAAAAAGAGAAAAAAATAATTTAAATTTTTTTGTTATCTCGACACCCGTATTAAGTACATGATCATTTCATTCATGAAAAAGAAAAATCTAACGATTGAGTAATTAATATTAGGAGGATTTTGACAACCACAATTTTGATTTCGTTGTTAATTAACATTAGGAGGCTTAGTTTGTTCTATTGGTTGTTAATTTTGATGATGATGTACGAAATAATCAAAGTCCGATGTACATAAAATATTAATATCAACATTATTGTTAAAATTTTAAATAACTAAAATAGTTAATTTTTATTAAAAAGTATTTACTATATTAAAAGAACATAATAATATTTCTTAAAAAAACATTTTTATATGCTTGAACTAATGTTAAACCATGCACATATTTAGTTTTGGGAGCGAGTACTGTGTTAATTAAATAGCATGAATCCTTTTTAATCCTTGAACCCCATTATAATTATAACGATAAACTTCTAATAAAAACATATCTTTGCAGAATGAATGCTGAATAAGTAAATTTTCCCATCTCATTGGTCCGGTTGAAATAAAAATAAATCTATAATTTTTTAGCATCCCTAGTAATTAATGTCCTGTTAGGAGAAAGTCTTTTGATAATTTAGAAAGAATTTATTAGGGCGTTGAATATGAGCTTTATTGTGTCAAGGATCATGCTGTAAGAACAGTGTGATCGGTCTGGGTGATATGCCAGGGAACAAATGCCATCACGTGTGACTCTGTGTGGGTCTATGCTGTGAATCTCATGCCCATGTCGATGGCCATGCGAAACATATGCTCGGTTGGGAAGGGACATTGTGGTTTAATTAACAAGTTTTAGATATAGTTTAGCTGCGAGTACGTGTTCATATATATGTTCTTATGGTCACACAGCAAGTTCCGGAGACATATGCTTCTGCTATATATCTTGTATAACCAGGACTTGTAGCAAAACAGCGACCGTGTCTTAAAGTGGCCCCATTATATATATTCTCAAAAATGAGTGTTCAGCCCAACCTGATTAAAATTGAGACTTATAAAATTTGCATGGTTCAATTAACGAAAATGAAATTTTAACACCTAAACGAGATGTCTCGTATAGATACTATATGTAATATTAGCAGTTGCATTAGGTGAAAAATATAAGAATGACAACACTATAGTTAAGTCTAAAAACACCTAAGTTTTGTCTTTAGTCTCTTCTATCTTGTGCTTTCTCTCTCCTCTTTTCTCTCTTCTATCAGCAAGTTCATCCTTTTGTTTTGAGCCTTCCATCCTATATTCTCTTCCTCTACCACTATCTTCACCTTCTTTTGGTTTGCTGAAGAGCAGTCAAGGTTATGCTCCTTTGTCCGTCGCTGAAACTGTTGGTGTCCCTTCTAAAGCTTGTGAAAAATGTAAAAGTATTTTAAGTTTGAGGTTTGTGTGTGTGTTGATTTTTATTTTTTTTTGGAGAGGGGAAGGGGGTAGGATTTACGTATTTATTTTTGAAGCATTGAGTAATAAAGAACACAATCAACGTTCTACTGATTATAAATGTTTATTTTTCAGGATTTGCAAATTGCATGTTTTGTCTTATATCCTCCCTCCAATTTATTTATGATTTCTATTGCTGTGTTTGTTATGATCATAATATGCTTTACATAGTTTTGTATAAAATCATCATTCACTCTCAGATTGAGATTCTCTATTTTTTAGCACGAACATGATTCTTATGTGCCTATATTTTTGTATTTTCGTTTAAATAAAAAATAATTTACTTAAGCAAAAGTGAAATTTACATTTTTGTTTAAGTAAAAAATAATTTATTTAAACAAAAATAAAAAAACACAAAATATGAAGATCATGTTACAGGAGAGGATCTGATCCTCCGGTCTCTTATCAAATAGGCTCAACAAGCTATTGAAAGACTCATCTACATTCAACAATCTCAACAATCTCACCTGCATATCTAAAGTTGAAATGAAAATTAATAACAAAAAAACTCACGTGCTAAATTTACAACTTTTTTTTAAATGACATGTTATTTCATCCTAAAGGAGTAAATAAGTATAATCATACTGATTTGTCATGTATTTATAGTTGAGACCAAGCTATCACTTCTAGCAACTTTTCCATGGTTGCATAGCCTCTTGAAGAGTGAGAGATTGGCCACTACTGATTGGTTTCTCATCCATGATATTGTCTTATGTGCTTTGAGCAATTGTCTACTTATCCAACTGCAATGTTCCTTGGTGATAGTGATGGAGAAGGGATGAGTCTTGTATTGTATTTAAAGGTTTCTAACACTCTACATGATATGCAGTTAAGTGCTACTAAAAAGAATTTAGTAAACAGCTTGTAATAGAAAACATGTGAACCATTACAAAGAAAAATAATATAATCTATTACTTTTACACACTAAACACTTTTTTTGTACTTAATTAAAACATTCAAATATAATTTTCTTTAGGCTGAAAGCCTTTCAAAAGCTCTAATTCTATTCATTGGGTCAAGTTCTAGTAATTAAAAATTGTGCAATTGCTGACATGATTACAAGTCACATAAGAAAACTAATATTTATAGCTAGTAATTACTCTCGTATGAAGGAAATTTTTTTTATCACAAAACTAGTAATTACTCTCATACAAAAGTAATTTTTTTTATCAAAAGGCTAGTAATTTTATAAATTTGTTGATACACATGCAAGTTATGTTAGAAAACTCTGCAAGACATAATATACTCATAACAAACACAACATAAAACTCATAAAAAACTAGAGGTAAGGTATAATGTAACATGCAATTTGAAAATTTTCATATTTTTCAAGATAGGAATTTATCGTCAATAGACTGTTAGCTGTGTTTTTAACTATCCAATGCTTCAAAAAATAAACATGTAAACTTCGAAAAAAAATTGATACCTACCCTTACTCTTTTGTGATTTTAAGAAGGGATACCAACAATTTCAACAACAGACAAAAAAATTGAAAGCAGCAAACAAAAGAGTACAACCTTAACCCCTCTTCAACAAATCAGAAGAGGGTAAAAACGGTGATGAGAAAAGTGAATTTACAATGAAGGACTTTAAATTTTATCTTTGTATTATTGATAAGAAATACAATAATTATTATTATGGATGTAGCAGCCTCTAATATAAACTTCACCGGTCCTTGTTATATAAATAGGATGTGTACAAGTTAAGACTCTATTATTTCGGAGGAGATCTAAGTATATATTACTTTAAAAATATAATATTAAATTATCTATGTACTTTATCCTAATAGTTTAAAGAAAATGTTAACATTAGTTATTAAAATTAATTTAGTTAACTAAAATTCATAAATTATTTCTCTATTTTTAAATATACTTTTATTAATTTATTAATTTTAAATTTTAAAATAATATTAATTATTATCTTTTGAATTATGTATTATCTATTTTTATTACTATTCTACTTATACTTTTGTTGTTTATATAAAATTTTAAAGCGTAATAAACTAATTGAATTTTTTTAGTTTATGTTTTTCTTTCTCTCTGTAAAAAAGCAAAAAGGGAGATAGTATTTATGTCCACCTAATTTTTAATTAGTTTTTTTTTATCATAGGTGAGAATAATAATAAAAACATAAGTAATTTAAAAATAAAAATAATTTTTAATAAAAAAATAAAAACACTATCACTTTCTTAATATGTTATTCTTTAAAAGTAAACAAATGACACATATAGAATAATATTCAATTTTTTAAGATGATATATTTTTATTAAAAATTACAAGAAATTATCATATCGAATACATTGATAATAAATGTTATAATTTTTAATAAAACTTTACTATTTATTGATTTTTTATTGTATATTTTTAAAAATACATGAAAAAAAAATAAAAATCGTATATTATATTAGCTACATCATCTTCTTTCATTATAGAGATAGTTTGAAATATGTAACCGTAACTCCAAAATCCGTAATCTGGTCCAGAAATTCACGAAAAAAAAAAAAGAGTTGCTCAAATTGCCATGTGATGATGTGAACTTGCCGAAAGAGGAAGCTACTTTCCCAATTCCCATTGTTAGACTTGGATTATGCTAATCACTTGCTTTAAAATCACTCTCTCTAAGATTCACTAGTCACTATATATATTAGAAAAAAAAAATATGTGCTATTTTTTTTTATAGATATTGCTAGTACTGTTTATTAATTAAATTAGATTTTTTAAATTTTACATTTAATATTATTATAGATTATCGAATTAAGATTTTAATTTTAATTAATCAAAAATACCAATTACATTTAAAAAGCTGTACTTGTATTTTATTTATGTATATATACTATATAACCAATGTGGGAAATAAATGATTTTTTTTAACAAATACTAGCATCATTCGTTAATGTTCTTTTAAATAATTAAAATTGATAAAAATTTATTAAATGTATACATATAAATTGTATAAAAAATATTATTTTAATAATGACTATATTTTTAATTACTTAAAATTAATATTAATAATAATTTTGGTAACTCCCAATCTTTAGGATTGATTTTAAATTTTTAGAAAAAATAAAAATTTATTAAAAATGCATTAGTTACATAAGAAAGCATTATAAATAGTTTTTTTAAAATAATTTTTTATTTTTTTATATATTTAAAACTAACATTAAGAATTCAAATTAATATTTTGTATCAATAAAAAGGTTTTTTCTTTGGACAGTGGATCTTTTCGTGCAATCGTCGACACAATCAAATTATCAAAGTGTACACTTCTAGTGAAACAACAAAGTATTGTTGACCCCCAAAAAAAGTGATATGACCAGAGAGAAAAAGAAAGCGAAACACGAGCCAAGGTTTTAAAATACCTTTGTTCTAAGCTGTAACTGAATAGGAATAGGACATTGTCTCCTTCGTAAGTTTTGAAAACTAATTAATAATTTATCTCTGTTCTTAGAACAATGTATCTTCCATCAACCACCTTGGTTTGTTTAAGTCTCTTTCTCTCTGACATTTATATTTATATGGTTCAGTTAAGCATCAGCTATACTATTAAATTGAAATATAATGAATTAAGATCCATATCCACTTGCACTCATGGAGGTATTATGTCATGTGGGCGCATTGATATTTGTATACCCTTTATTATTGCTTGTTCTAGAGGAAACATCAATCATGTAACAACATCCATAAATTATTATACTTGAAATAAAATTAAGATTGATTAAAATGTGTTTTGCAATTCAGAGAATATATCGATTGTTGCAATCCCAAAAACAAGTTAGATTTGTCTTCAATAGAATTTAAGTCATAATGGAGCCGTTAGCAAGCATATATGCATATGTTTAAATAACCAGTATATATGACTTTAGGTGAAATCATATTTATTATGATTCTTCTCATTATATATAATTGGAACTGTAATCCATAATTGCACATATATATATAGTCCCCAATCGGACTCTATTATCGTAAAGTTTATAATATACGAGCTAATCACTAAAGATCCTTGGTTTCTTTGTTTGAAACCATTATTGGGATGTCAGTTTTAACTTTGAAGCTCGAACATGATATTTTGGTGATTAAGTTTCGAAACGAATACTTAGATATCTTCTTATATACTTTTCTGTCTACTTCTACTACTACATGGAATCACAAATCGAAAACAGCGTGCTCCCAAATGGTTGACAAATATATTACAAGCTACACGATTATTTGAATAGCATTAATTTAAAAATATAACGTATGGATTTTATTTTACCATGCATGATATTGAATTCATTGTTGAACTTAGAATATCAAGCAACATTCTCGAAAAAAGATGACCTACGCGTACGTACTGAGGCAAAAGTTAATCTATATGTGCCTGAAAAGAATATATAAGGCCTTTGTTTCATGAAATTTGTTTGATTTAGAAACATGCAAAAAAAGTTTTAAAAAGAAAAGAAAAGAAAAAGAAAAAGAAGGTGACGTTTCTTTTCACCAAACCCGCTAGCTGATTGAGATCAGAGCTTGGAAAATCTGCGCACGCATAAGTTTTTGTGTTGCATACCAACTTTCATTGCTAAGGCAAAACTTTCTATTGCTTTGGTCTTTAAGCGATACCTTATTGGTAATTTAAATAAAGGACATAAAAAGTTGATAATATGTTTATCTGATTATTTTTCTATATTTAAAATATAAAATGGTATTTCATGCATGTAAAATTGTATCTATTTATTTATTATTAATATAAAATAATGCCGATTTTTTAATTAACTCGGCACAAATTCATAAAAATATCTCGGTTATGAAAAATTCTTTAACTTACAAGAAATTCTTCAGCCTCTTAATTCAATTTATGCGATATGTTCCTCAAATGAGACTCATGAATACAACAACATCTGATTCTGTTAAAATTTTGCATGTTACTCAAACTAAGCCACTGTCTTTAATAGGAAATACCTATTGTCTACTGCCTAGTGATCATTTGTTTTTAGTTCAACCATGTTCGATAGGCGTCAAATTTTGTAGAGTAATAAGGGGAAAAAACTGATACACGAAAGTAGACAACTGTTATGTCATGACGACTTTATATATAAATTCAATATTCCCTTATTTAATTACACACTCAGAGACGAGAGAATCTTTAACATTAACCGCTATCTAGTATTCTAATTGCTGTCGTGCATGAAGCGGTAATTTCTGATATGTGAATTCTAACAAGTAACCTGGTTTTGCGCGTTTGTAACTTTCATGAGTCCCTAAGTGTTTCCTGGACCTAGGGATTGTCTAGTTTGACTGATATGATCGTTCACAGTCCACAGAAAATTGCCCCGGGACCTACCTTCTTGCCCATTTCAGTCCCTTGTTCCCTTTCAGCATCATCAACATGATGCTCACAAGTCACATGCATTGTGACATGGCACTGATCATACATGTATAACTATGTTCCGTAACAAAGATGACCGTATCAAATTTCATCTTTACTATTCACTGAAAATATCATGTTAATTATCATTTAGCTAGGATTGGTAATTCCTGCCGACAGAAGAAATAGCATTGATTTGGCTAACTTTTTAAGATTAAATTAATTTTCATTTTCATTTTACGTTGTTATTCTATTGGGTGTGTGAGAAAATACATGTACACGTGGGCGCAAAAATTATGTATTGTGTGTCTACAAAAGATATTCATTCTGTAAAAATTTAAAATAAGATAGATGTCATTAAAATTTTTAGGGAAATATGATTGACTATATATATATACTTACATAATCATGCACCTTAATTCTTCATGTAACCCTTCTAGTTTATTGCAAAGAGCCCCCTCAATCAAGCCAGTCACATGGCATGTTCCCAGTCATCTAATCAAACGGCCAAGATCAAATCTCAAAAGAACTCACGACGCAGCATCAATCGTTGGATGTGTCCCATATCCAACTTATGGTGCTGGCCTATGTTGGTGGTTTTGCGAGGGGACAAACTTGTCCCCACAATTGTTTCTCATGTGACCGACCAATTCGCCTTACTTGACCTGTCATTGCTCCCACTACGTCCTTCTTCATTCACTTTCTATATATATAACTCTATAACTAAGCTCTCTCTTCCATATTCAAAACCATTGATATATCCTTCACACCAAATATTCTGATCCAAAAGAGAAAACATTATTCCAGAACACAAAAGGTAGAGTGAGTTTGGTACCCCGAGAATATGGCCAAAGAAGGTCTTGGACTTGAAATCACTGAGCTAAGGTTGGGTCTGCCCGGTGGAGAACCTACAAGTGTGGTGAATAAGAATGAGAAGAAAAGGGTGTTCTCGGAGATTGAGGGTGTCGGCGATGAAAATAGCTGCTCCGGCGACCAGAAAATAGAGAAGAAGAATCAAGTGGTGGGGTGGCCTCCGGTGTGCTCTTACCGGAAGAAGAACAGCATGAACGAAGCTTCAAAAATGTACGTCAAAGTTAGCATGGATGGGGCTCCCTTCTTGCGTAAAGTTGATCTTGGTATGCATAAGGGATACTCGGAGTTAGCCTTGGCTTTGGAGAAACTCTTTGGTTGCTATGGAATGGGTGAGTTCCATTTTACTTTTCATTTTTCTTAATATTTGTGGTATGATCTTTACATGCTAGGGTAAAAATGTCAATAAATTATTTAGAGACATGCAAAATATATAATTACATGAACAAAACTAAAATATAATATTATAAGCATTTGTAATTCTATTTTTAAACATATTTCCTTATAATTTATAATAATAGCATATGATATATCTTGTAGGGAAGATGAATGAATGGGCGTGCATTTTGACCTGTTGTAATTACTATTAAAGAACAACACGTGATTGATATAGGGTTTAATTGGCGGCATAGGCTCTTCAAAAATTTAATTAAAACAACCTCAACTTAGATGATATTTATGTGAGTTAAGCGTTTTGACCGGCAGGAATATGTTGTACTAACATTAGGATTAAGAAGAATCTTTCATTTCAATAATTGTCCTGGAAAGAATGGGCACGAGTAAAATAATTCCAGAGAGAGAGAAAGAAGGACAAAGTGGGAGACCAAGTAGTATATATAATAATTAGACATTCTCCTTATTACGTGATGGCGTGCACTGGTGTATAGATAAAGTTGAACTGCTCTTTTCATGACAAAGAATTAAGAACAACAAATTTAAGCTATATATAAACTAATATCATAAGTACTCAATTAGAATAGGATGAAAGCGAACCAAACCCCACAAAACGCAAAAATTAATATTTGTTTGCGAAAATATGTTGGCAGTGGAGGCATTGAAGAATGCGGACAATTCTGAACACGTTCCCATTTATGAGGACAAAGATGGTGACTGGATGCTGGTTGGAGATGTCCCTTGGGAGTAAGTACTCTTGGCCCTTCCCTCCTATTTTGTTAGCTTTTATAAATTTTATATTTTACGCTGTGATTGAATTCATTGATTTTGATTGAAAATGATAGAATCATTTTCTTATAATTTTAAAATTGAATCTACTTAGTTACACTAAATACAATTCCATTAATCGATCAAACTTAGACTAATTAAGTTAAAATTATATAATAACTAACCAACTCATGTTTTAGAGCAACATAATTGGACTTATCTAAGGTGAGAAAGGCTCGTTATAGAAATATAAATAAAAAGTTATAACGTTTAATAAAAAAACAAAAAAAAAACTAAAATATTATAGCATTAATAGTTATTCCATGAGTTTTTATTAACAAATATTTTTATTTTTTATTATCACTTTAAAAGAATCAAAGAATCAGATCCAGTTAACAATCAATGTATATATATTATATTATAGTCTATGTGGACATGTGGTTAGAAAAAGTAATAGTTGTATTTTGCTTTAAAATTCGAGTATACCTCACCTAAAACATGATCACCAAATTATAATTAAGGCATACATACTATCCGTTTTGTTTATATACGTTTCAAATTTCATTTACTGATACAAATTTGTGTAACCCACATATTACATATATAAATAATAACTCCCACCCATAATATGCTGCTATTTTTTCTTTTCCCCTCCTTTTGGGTGGAAGCACATCTATTTGTGATTTCTTAGAAAAGTGGTAATCGTGTAAGATACGAGTTTATGTAAGCAAGAAATACTTTCAACTACTGTTATAGAGTCAGCTTCCAGTGTTGGCTTAGAGTGTACAGCCCCTACCCACTATGATTCCATGTTCGAAAACTATGTGCTACGGAAATTTCGTTTACTATCATTATCATTTATGTATGTATAAAGGTCTTACGTGCTAATTACTTAATTACCTAATCAATCTAAACAAGGCATGCTGTCCCACTGATTTAAATGACATATGAATTACTCCAAAAATTGAAATACGGACAAGTGTTTGCCAAAGGTGTTCTTAGAATTATTAAAATTTAAAACTTCAGAAGGCGCATTTATTCTTTTTCCTGTGAGACCGGAATTTTGTACAAGTTAATGCATGAAAGTGAAAATCGACATTTTTTTGTGATGCCGACAATATATGTTGGACCCCATATCGCCGACATGCGTGAATCCCTCGTTATAATGTTCAGCATCAAATTGGGAAGGGGGAAACGATCATCCATGGTGGCCTACACTGAAAAAGGCAAAGCCATTATTGTTATTGGATACATCAAAATAAAGGAGAAAAAAGTTTCTTAGTTGGCCACATTTCCGAGAATGATCGGATGTCCCATGAAATATATGAACTTCAAAGAAACAAATAAACATGTAAATAATTGTTACAATTTTAGATATATTTTTTATTTAAAGGTATAATAAATTAATTATTTTCTATTTTGTGATGTTAAACTTATATTCGGTTACTGGTAATAACTATGTTTAATCATGATTCTTGACAGAATGTTTATTGAGTCATGCAAGAGGCTGAGGATTATGAAGAGATCAGATGCGAAGGGCTTTGGTCTTCAACCAAAAGGATCTTTAAAGGGATTCATAGAAGGAGTGGCAAAATGAAAGATAGCATGTTAGGCTTCTAATTAATGTCGTGCACGTTTTGATGATCATCAATTAAATTTATGTTGTCGTTTTCTTATATTTGCGAAAGCATGTCTTTATAGTTTGATATATATATATGAATCAGATTTCTGTTTGTGTTCATTATTAATGAAGGACATATAGGACCCTATATAATTAATAGGGAAAACTCATCGTTTTAGATTAATGCTTTGCCATATTTGTTAATTTGCAGTTCGCTGCACTAAAACTTGTATAAGTATATTTTTTGTTTCTAATTCCAACTCTGTTAATTACTTCACCTAAACTTTTTTTTTCCTTTTAGTGTTTAAATATATAATTGGTACAGTAAACCACCCTATCAAGTTATTCACGTAAAAAGAAACAAAATTACGAAAGAGTAAATAATTATTATGAGAAAATAAGCTTTAAAAAAATATAAATACAAAAAGTGTTACACAGTGAAAGACGGATTAGGTTGGAAAAATGTACTGTTGTCCTCCTACCTCCTACTTGACTCCACCCTCCCTCACTCGAACGAAGCAATATATATATATATATAATTGTTATATATACTTTTTATTTTTTTTAACATCGTTCATTATATCTTTATTACCAACTCTTATATTTTCTTATTCGTTATTTTTTAGATTCGATCATCTGTATCTACTTCTTTCTTTCTTTTTATTATATCATTTACAAATATTTTTATTTCTCTTAAATATTATTCCTTAGAATACATTAATTGTCTTCTTCTTCCTTCGATGCTAAAAAAATGAATTTCAACCTAGTAATTGAGCACAAATGGTTGAGTAAGGAGCTTTTAAGGTTCTTGAACAACAACCATGGAGGTTGTTGGTGACTGATTAATGGTAGTTTGTGGAGGTGGATAATAATGAGACTAGCTATGTGAAAGACTTGGTATGTATGGAAGTTGGCGTGGCAGTGTTTGGATATATGGTATAAGGTAGAGAGGGTGGCAAGGCAAAAATTGTCTAATTTTGAAAATAAAGGGCTACGATTACTTTCATAAAATTTAAAAGACAGACAATTTAAATTAAAAAACCTAAACGTTAAAGAAGTCTTTTTTCCTTCCAACAATGTTAGTCACATCATTAAACATGGTCTACGCCAACATGAATAGTTAATAATTGGATGAAAAGTCAAGGATGAGACCATATTTTCAAAATTAAAAAATTATAGAAAGACTACAATCGAGTGAGAGAAAAAAAAAACACAGAAACATCAAAATCATGCTAGCACAAAATTAAGACTAAAAGTATAATTAAAAATAAAATTATCATTGTAAACATCGTAACGTAAACAGAGAGAGTAAAATAATATTTTTAGTTCATGAAGACATGAACTAACTTTATGTATATTTGTTTCTCACAACAAGTGCACATGATTGCCTCTTTTAGCCATTTCTAGGGCTGCACATGATAAGAGCGCAAAAGTCGAACTGTTACTTAACCCTAGGTGCAGAATCTTGTTTGTATTTCGAACAATCCCAAAATAGTAATAGTTTCTAAAACACACTAAGTAACCCACTATTTTTATAAACAATTTTAAACGCAATCAATGTAGTTGGACAGCATTATGTTTTGTTTTTTTGCAAGAGAAATATTTATAGATAGATTGGATTTTTCGTGTTAGTTTTAATTATATATGTTATGAGAAAGATTATAAAAATCTTATTATATGTAATCTTTTATTATTTTATTGTTGTGTTTTCTTTCTCATAATTAATCTTATGTTAATAAATAATAAGATTCAAATTTAAACTGACATTTTTTTTTACATAATTTTGAATATATTTATATTATTAGTTAAATTTTATATAAGTCTAATTAAATAACTTATTTGTTTAATGAAATTCATATGAGATTTATCTTATAAGAAAATGTGTTGCTAATCTTCTTTTAATTTAGGTTCAACATCAGCATTATAATCACTTAAATCGAAATTAATTTACTTGAAGAATGAATTCATCGCTTGTGTGAAACTAAGCACAAAATTTAACGTTTTCGACGTTACCCCATGAATTATATTCATTAAAAACATCATTTCATTAATTTTGTTCCAAATTAACCTACCTATAGACCAGAGCATGATCTCCATCTTCACCTTCTAGTTCTCTTCTAAACATTTTTTAAAAGTCATTTTCCATTTTAGGAAAAAAAATTATTTGTCTATGAGCACTATCGGAACATCTTAGGATAATTATAGTCAATTTCTATCAAACTCGTACATATATATCAAATTAGTCTTATTCTTGTTAAGTGATCAATTATTTACATCAACTATGTTTTCATCAGAATGCTGATAATCACATAATTGCTCATTTGTCTTGATGCATTCTTTTCATTTAAAGGTCTTACATAAAACCCCCACTAATTTACCTAGTTACACTAAATATTAAAGAGAGAAAGATCCATCTACATCTCTCAGGTGACAAGCCATTTTAATGACTTTATAGTAAGGAAAAAAAATAAAGATTCCGAATGGATGAACTAAGATATGCCCTTTCAAAAGAAGAAATGAAAAAACGAACAGAAAATACAAAACATGGTGTCATAGCAAGGCTTCAACACTATGAGTAATTGCCAGATGTCTTTTATAGATATTGGGTAAGACAAGTCAGCATTGATCTTTCTCTCACCATACCATGTCTATAGGAACTTGGACTAACCATAAAGCCTATCCAGCTAGCTGTTGTCGATCAAGGACACCCATGTGATGGATCTGGAAAGCCAATTTAAGCACAACTACTACTATAATATTTCTACTACATTACAATAAGAGGAAAAGGGTCCACCGTGCCATCAATTGTATTCCCTTTAGGGAAGAACAGGGAATGAGTCCTTGAGTTGTGCTTGTCCCAGAGAGAGTGTGATGGTGGACTACAAGTTTCATCTTTTCTTCCTTTGCTTTGAGCTTTTGTCAAGGATAAGAACCAAGACACTGATCCCTGCAAGTTGAAAGGAGTTCCATGACAATACAGTGTTTCCTTTGTCTTTGTATATTTTATGTTATCAATTGATTTATAAAAGTTAAAATGTAGTCGGTATCTTACTAATGGGAGTACAATGCTATTATTAACTTTAGATTTGATTAATATTAGTTTTTGGAACTAATTTTAAGATTTTAAAGGTGCAATTTATAAGATAAGATAAAATTAACATAAAAATCGGATAACAAATTAGATACATTATGTTTCTTTATTTTATTTATTTTTAATTTAACTCTTACAAAATAAAACTTAGAACGGAAGAAATGATAAGATTTAGGATAGAATTATTATATTTTATTCATCTAATGTCAAAAATTAAATAAGATAAAAAAAAATATATCAATATTTTTCTTATTATTTTTTCTTTTAAATGGACTCTTAAAGTAATAAAATTTTATTATAAAAAAGGATAATTTTTTGTGTTTTTGATATAATAAATAATTTTTTAAATAAAAAATAATATTTTAGATACTTAAAATTGATCGTTAATTAATATTTTTTTATTAATTTAAGGCTGAATTTACTTTTGCCTATTTCTGAACCTAATTTCAACTTCACCCGTTTCTTAACTCACAATCATTAATAAACCAATTAAATGTTAATTCCGTACTATCATTTAGGTACAGGGTTAAGTATTGGTTATTTTGAAGGGTGACCTTGACTTCTATGGTTCTGTCCAGACATTCAAACCCATGATGATTGCTTTAACACAAAATCCAAACACGATGATCATTAATCATAGAAAATTTTATTTAAAATATGAATAGTTCCGTCCGAATAAATGATTCTTTAGGCCTAATTATGTATTCACTATACACTTCCTCTGAATATGATTAATTTCTAGATTTCTTTTTCTTTTGCTGATATTTTTGTATGCAAAAAGTGTGGGATACAGAATCTTGTTAATATTTTGAGGGGAAAGTCCCGCTTCTATGAATTCTTCTTATGTTTAACGAGCATATTCGTAAGTGATAAGTACTTGCAAGAGCTAATAACGTTTTGCTTTCTTCTTTATATTAATCAAGAATAAACAATTTAATCAGTTTTTAGTTACAATGCTTTTGTTGAATGCGAATTTAAAATTCCCTTTTCTCAAAATTTCTCCAACCAGTCTTTTATGTAAGCTGTAAATTAGCAGCAGATTTTATATAATGAGTTTGCTAATAAATCATGACTATGAAATCACATTGTCATTGAGAATTGAACATGCAATTGTATGAATAGGAGCATAAATTTGGTCAACCAGAAAACGTTCATATCATTTGGCATAGTTCCCTTCTCAGCAGTACTCTAAACTACTGTTGTAAAAGTGACATTAATAACATACAAAAGTGCTGATTGCTAGCTGTGCTGACCCCTTCAACCTTCCCCTTATGATGCGATATTGTAGGCACCCTTGCCAGTTATAACAACGTGTGTGACCATCGTTTATATGTAGTTATATACTATATAAGGTAATGAATCTTCTCATCAACATGACTGATTATGTTCAAATCTTGTAACTCTGTTCTAAGCGAGACAAACACAATATGTTTGGTGTGTGACCATGGTTTAGGTACCCATGTCAAATAAAAAGACAAAATTTAGACATAATTCTTTAAGTGCATTTAGTATATAAAAATTTTGTTATATAACTCGTGACAATTTTTAATATTATCTTTTTTATCCGTTAAATGTTTATTTTTATTGTGTAGCAAAATAAAATTCAAATTTTAATGAAAATTAATACTAAAACACATGAAGGCTTGACTAAAGAATAGTATATAGAAAGTTTTGCTTCTTGATTATTCTTCTAATTTTAGCATGAGTCAAATTCAACGGTGAAAAAGAAATTTTAAATTATAAATTTAAAAGATTTCTTTATCTAATATGTCTTAAACTGTTTTAGAATAAGACTATCTAACTTGTATATCATTTGATGTTGCTAATTCGTAAGGTATAATATTTAATATTTTCTCTTAAGTCCAATTAGCTTTAGACTAATTGAGTATTTATTTTATTTTTTGTTAATATGGACTTATAAAAAAAACTTTAATGTCACAAGTCTATCTTTTTTTCTTGACTTTTTTTATTTATGCTTTTCATATTTTGTTTTTATATGTATTCTTATACCATATCAGGATTTTCATATGGACCCATTCAATAGTGAGAGGAAATATTTGGATTACAAGTTTAAAAAATTGTCTATCTAAAATGCCTTAAGCTATTTTAGAATAAAACTCTTACTTTATATCAAAACAATAATTTATATATGATTAAAGATCTATTTAAAAAACTTTATAAATAATTTATGAAAAACAGGTTATAATTTTCATAAATTATTTTCAGCTTATCTCAGTAAAATTTATAGTATAATTTATTAAAATAAAATATTTTTAACTCATTCCAATAATTTAAAAAAATATTGAATAAACAATTATCTAAGCACTTAATTTGGCTGACTGTGAGTAGTGAAGACAACCATAGCCTTTCTACTAACCACCAGAATAAATGTGACCCATGAGAAAAGGGAAAGTGATGGCTTTAACATGACAAGGTCCAGGTAACACCTGTCACTCCTGCTCCTAAGTATATGGAAAACACTCTTCCATGTGCATGTTGTCTGCACAAATTATTGCCAAGACTTTGTCTAAACTCAATTAATTAACAATTAATAGTATAAAATGTTATGCCACACTTATTTTATACTAAAAGTAAATGAATTGATTTATTTTACATGACTTTTGTAAACAAGAATTAGGCAATAATGGCGCACCAGCACGTTAGATGTCATGCTGTTTCACAAGTTAATTGCTCAACCCTTATTAATTATGACCCAAATGGGGTTTAATTTATCCCATTAAGCTTTTTTTAGATGCACTAAAGATATTCCTTAACCAACAAACAAAATATTTTCTTGATGCATAAATACAGCACAAGTAGATTTTGTTTCTTTCAGTATCGAACTTTAATCAATATGCTTAAGAGAACTCTCAAAGTGAGAGATCAAAGCCTTTTACTTCGTTTTCATTAAAAGGCTATTTTTACTCGATTTATTTTATTAATGTATTCATGATAAATTAAGAACCCTGCTTGGTTTGTAAAAATATTTATTTTTATAAATAATTACAAAAAATGTAAAACCATAGAAATATTTTTAAAAAGTAAGATGTTATTTATTTATTTAAACAAAAAGAATAGAGATACAAAATATTTTCTTAAATTAAATAGACCCTTATATTTTTTCATGTTAATTAATCATTAACATATTATAAAATATTGTTTATATGATTCTTATAGTAAGATAAAGACAAGGAATACGAAGTTAACTAGCAAAGAAACAAAAGAAAACAGGACTAAAAGAATCTGATTATTGCAAACTGGGAACTGTCATCCCTAGTCTCCTCCCTTGAACTCAAAATCAAAGTCTCTTTGGACCAAAAAACAGCACACATCATATTCATAAAGAGTATATATATATATATATATTAACATTTGAAAGTGACTTATGATTTTTTTATAGGTTATTTTTAATTTATCAATAAATTTTATAGTCAAACCTGTTCATTTCTCATAAAACGAGATCTATTTACCTGAATGCTTAATTACATTAGTTAATTAAACACATCTTAATAATAATAATTGAGTGAACATGTGTTTACCAAGGTTAACTAAAACTTAAATAATATTAAAATAATTTCAATAAAAAAATTATTTATTTATTTATTTATTTATTATTATTATTATTATATATCTTACTTTTTTTAATTATTTATTTTCACAAACAAAGATGTCCATTTATTCTTGGATCATGACTGCTCTTTTTCTGGGTCAAAGCTACAATTAATAAAAAGAGATCCAACGGTCTAAAGCCCAAGATTACTTGAAACGATCCAATTGTGTAATAGAAAACCTTTCTTTGGCAATGATGGTGTTAGCGCAATTTTTTCTCGGTTCAAATATCTTGCGCTCCTTATTTTCAGATTCCAGTGCCTATTCCTATTTCATAATCAGATTTACTATTCACAAAAAGAATGAGACAACCCTACATTAAAAGATTCCATTTTTCGATCCGTGATTACTAAATTGAGCTAACACAATAGTAAATCAACATCATATGAAATCGATGTCAATCTAGGTTGACTTGACACGATCTGGGTTAGCAAAGTCCTCCAGAAAACTATTGTTAATTACAGAAAATTTTAAAATGACTTTTCATTAGGCGTTGACCACACCCACATGCACCCCTTTTAGGTTTATAGTGAAATAAAATAGTAAAGCCAAACCACAAACAAAAAGAAAACTTACTATGAGACGAATGGGTTCCTATTTCTATTTTTTAACCGTTACAAAATCAATTATTGTATTTTTTTTAATAAAGAAATATGTTTCAATGAAAATTTATTATTAAGATCAATTTTGATACAACAGTATATTCTATCACAGTTCTACTTAATTTTAACATAAACTTGGATCATAAATAAGTCCAAGGTATCAGATGTTATTTTGTTACACCCAACAATGGCCATTACTACATGCGAGTTCAAATATCCAAGTAATTATGCCTCGTATTGGGGTTCTAGTTCTATCTCAGACAGCTTACCATGTAATGTACATACAGAAGATATTAAAAGAATGGACAGGCACAAAACGAATGGAAGTTGAAGACAGGATTAGATTAGACACGATTTCTTTGTTGTGTACATATCAGTTAGGAGTCCCTTGCATCATTGGCTTGTCAATCATCTTTATCTTCAGAACAAAGTTTCATTCAGTTTTGGTGAAGACAAAGCCGCTACACATTTAAACTGTTAAAAAGAGAATTCCATAATAAACATCATGCAAGTTGATAGTAAATGTCTACTAGTAGTTCAAGTTCAAAAATATTTATATAAAGACAACTTGGATGCAGTATTGTAGATACTGATAGTACTGTTCTCTAATCAGTGTTAGAATTTCACATCAGTAATATGCATAATAAAAGTATGCCTTGAAGGTTAGTACATCAACATTAAAGGTCCATACATATTACCGATATAAAAAACTCCTATGCTGATTGGAGAACAGCACCAACAATACCAATAGTAGTGCACCTAAGTTTTGTCCTTTATATAAATGTAATGAAAGAGGGTTTGATATCCATACCTTGTCTTGTCTGTACTTTGTGTGAATCGCAGTTAGAGGGCAGCCATTGGTATTGAGCTGTAGGTCTTGTAATGCAAGAACTGTGGCTTTCAACTCTGATGCTTTGTAACAAGCATAGTATTGAAGAGTTGGATTCTGCAATAACAAAGAGTGTCATGTTTCCTTTACATAACTCTAAGCGTGTTTGGTTAAACGTTTCCATGACTTGAACATGCGTACTCAATACAATTTAGAGCTGCCTCTGGATCCTAAACGCACGTTCATATCATACAAAACACTGAAACAAACATGCCTTAAATGTAAGGAAAATATGAGTGAGGCACTAACCCATGGGTGGTTTGACTGATCTAGCGTCCACCTGGCAAGAAATACAGCTGATGCAGCAATGATAGAGGGAAGGAAATTCAAGAAACCATAGTCCATCAGTGTTAGTTCAGCCAGGTAATTCGCCAGGTACTCCAATTCAAGGTTAGGGTCCTGCATATTTTTCAGCAGGTTAGTGATTAGTAAACTCAACCAAACAATTTGCCATGTTTTAGACCAAACAGCATTGCCCCAAGATCAATGTTTTCACCTTGTATGAAGCTTGTGCTGCTCGAAGGAACCTCCTAAGAACCAAGAAGGTAAAAGGATATTGCATTAAAGATCTCTCAATGAAGAGTTGAAATTTTCTTATCATGTTTCTTTTGTGTGGATATATTAATGATTTAATGATAAAAGTGTCAACAAGAACCTGAGGAAAGTTTTTGTAGTGGGAGCAAACAGTTGATATTCAGATGACTTTAACACTCGACTCTCCATTTTTAGTACCTGACAGCCACAAGTTATTAATCAGTTGCAATTTGCAAAGAGTCCAAAATTTATGTTCTTAATCTTGTAAAACACTATTATTAAACTTTTGCATAGTGACTAGGACAGCATAAAAAATCCGTAGTTTTAAAAGTGAATTTGAAAAGCCAGGGAATAAGATATTAGAGCTTGAGAATCTTTGTTGTTGTCGGCGAGTGTAACAGTAGTTTTCAATTTTATTTGATAAAACTTCAATTAGTTTTAAGTTTCAATATGTAAAACTATAAATTCCTCATTATTGGCATAAACCATTTATTATTGAATAAGCATGACATACCTCCACTTTCGTGTATGTATTGTCTGTGATGAAGCAGAAATCGTCAATACGTGGGGCATTAATTTCTTCATATTTCCTTCAATTATAAAGCAAAAGACAAAATAAAAATTTCAAAATGCATCAGAATCAGCACAATTTCCCATCTTTTGCATTCCATGCTTCACACCCTAATCCAAATTATCAAGGTCCCAGAGATATCCTCTTTTTTGATTGACCATTCATTAACATAGAAGCAAGGATACAACACATTGTATTCTCATAAAGAAGCATCAATGTAATATGGACCACACAACAATGTCAACGCAACTAAAAAATTTCAGTTTTAATATTATGATATCATGAAGGTAATTACATATGTGCTGTGGAAAATATGACTGAGATGGTTCGTAGTCAATTTCATTGAATTTAAAAACTTACGAGGCAATAAGCATGCAGGTGATGCCAAGTAGCTGAAGCCTTTGTCTTTCAATGTAATTTTTGGAGAGAAACCAATCTATGAGATATACAGTGAGGTAAAGAGTGTCTGAAACCAATTTGTATTCCTCAGAAACCTGAAAAAGTAATTAAGAATGCAATTTAGTTTCTGAAAAACAAAAAACGAAAAAGTTTCCCCGTGTTTCTTTTTCTCATAAATATTAAAGCTACCTCAACTCACATATTATTGTCAACCACCATAACAGCACTTAATATTATAGCTTTGGGATTAGCTAAATTATATTGTTCCTTGATGGGAACTATTTTAAAGCCTCTATGTTAAAGCCTACTCATAAGCGATGATAGTTTTATCTACATTATTATCATCTCTGAACACTCAATTTCTCGCGTCTAAACACTTTGAATTATATTAGGTGAATTATAAGCAAACCTCTACAAGCCAATCAACCAGTATTCCACGCATGCTATGAGTGATATCTCGCTGCACCATTTCCATAAAGTTAGGACGTGGCCTTTTTGCGAGCTGAAATATAAAATATTAGACAAACAAGGTAAGACTTGAAACAAAATCTAAAAGAAAGGTTATGGTAATTCTGCATTCCATTTTATAGGGCTGTGAAAAATCTGGAATCCCAATATCCCACAATGTTTCAATCCAATATAGTATGTAGGCTATAGCATGCAGATCACAAGGTTTTAACAATCTTTTGTTTATTCAGATCAAGGTTTCTTAGCTCCCAACATCACAATGCAGCATTTTATCACTTGGGATAAGATTTGGTTGTTGTAGTTGTTATTCAGTAATAACCATTATTAATTGAGATAATGACAAACAAAAGCTCTTAAAATCTAAAAAGGTCTTGATACTGAAGGTATAACTGGAAATTAAAAGGAAACATCAAGGTGAAATTTTTTCTTAGCTTTGTAACCTTAAATATTTCCATATCCTAAGGTCCTAATCATGAAGTTCAATGAAAGCAATCGAGAAAACATTTATATGTTCAAAAAAATTTTATATTGGTGAATATTTGTGTCTATCAGCACACCATTAAGGGAATGAGTGGATACACAGAGATCATAATATTAAAGGGAATTTTCTTTCCCTTTTCTCTGCTGTTAGGGATGAGGAAAGAAGTCGACTATTAAATCCTAAACATGAAAAGGCAGGCAGAAAAAGTATGAGTATATTTTCTTGCTTCCAAAGCTAGCAAAGTTGATATAGACAATAAGGCTTTATTAACCAATCGTAATAAGCATGGTATTTGCAGCACAAACCTCAGCAACACGCATGTTCTCATAGATATCAGCAGCATAGAGGCTGCACAACTGAGGATCTTCAAGATCATCATCTATATTAGTAATGTCTGGATCCTTCGTTGCACTCAAAACTGCTGAAAGGTTATCTTTCTTGGCTGCAACAATGTGGGTATGCTTGTCAGTACTGATCAATATACAGCTGAGAAAAAAGATGAAAAACACATCAACTCAGAAATAATTTCTTTTGTTAAGGACTTGAACAAATTCAGTAACCCAGTGAAAAGCAATATATTAAATACATAATGACAAATTACGGTCATTTTAGTAGGCTTCCAAGCAACAATTGGTTATAATTGTAAGAAGGAAACCGAAGATCTTCAAATTTCTCTATACCAGGGTGTTGGATTGTTTCAAATGTACAGGTTAATTGTTGTGGCAGCAATTTTCAGTATTATCAGAACGTATGATATGTGAAGGAGTATATTACAAAAGATAAAAAGGTTAAATTTTTTTTCAGATCAGGTTTATTACCCAACTAATTGTCTCATTTTTGTTAATCAAGAAAATATTAGTTTGGTCAACTAACATTATTGTCTCCCAACAGACATGGGCAAAGTTTGGATGAACTTCTAGGGTAGTTCTTACAAGAAAAAAAAATAGTATAAAAAAATGAATAAAACTTCTCTTATAAGTTAAAAATAACTTATTTCCTCAAATTTTATAGAAGTTAAATAAGAGAGGTTCTCAAAAAATAGAAAAGTATAAATTATTTCTAACTTATAAGAAAATTTTTATTCATTTTATATACTAACTTTTTTTCTTTAAATTGAGCTATAATGTTTTGCTTGAACTCCACCATAAATCCATGATAGTATAGAATGCACCCCAACAATCTAGATATTTTATTACAACAATCTCAGACTTCAGAAGGTCACTTCCCTTTGAACTACATATACCAACTGATTTAAGTTCAGCAGAAGAATTAATAATTCTTCAAGAAACTACAGTAAAAACAAACAATATGTATTATTACGCGAAATTAGAGTATGTAAGTAATGGTAGACAGCAAAACCTTTCTTCTGAGAGATAAAAGGATGAGCAGATATTCCAGACGTCTGACTTTCGGGCAGTCTTAAATCCTTGCTACATTCACTAGTACTCAGCCATTGATGTTCATTGTTTTCCAAATTAATTGAGCACATAGCATCTTCTGATTCCTGTATACTCTTTCCTTTGGAGTCAACTTGAATTTTTGGTGGCTTACTTTTCTTAGCCTACCAGTCACAAAAATTCACTGTTAGGTAAGGACGATGAGAGCAACTTTCCATGAATGTTACATCAATCCAGCAACAAATTTCAACATGACAGGAGACAGTTAACCATGAGGGATAGTTTTAAATAAATCATGTTCTTGCTCTAAACAATTGGGGCTTAAGACATGGATAAAACCTGAATTTTAGTTGAGTTGAAACAGCCCTTGTATGCATTTTCACAGCAAACATTAGTAACATCCTGAAGAACAGCCCTCTTCTTACGTTGAAGACATATATTATCAGAAATTGCTCTTTTTGAGTTGGCTCTGGGTAACTGATTCTGATTTTGCTGTGCTGACTTCTTCACAGGGGGTAGCTGTCCAGATGCACGAAATGCAGCAGCTCGAGCACGGGTCAATCGACCGGGGGGCTCCCTAGTTTTCAATGTGACACTGATTTCTTTCTTCATCTCTCCAAAGACTCTGAATAACAGAAAGCAGTACAATGTTGGTGTGCGAATCCTGCAATAAAAAGACTGAATCATGAGAAAGCAAAGCATCTGGAATCCATGAGACTAGTTTCGTTGTTTCTCATCAGAGGCAACATTTTTTAAACGGATCAGCAATTTGACATCAAAGAAACAAACTTCACTCGAATTTGTTGTTCAAATGCAGAAAGAGAGTGAGTAAATTTGTTGTTTCTTTATGTCAGTTATTTGAAATCAAGCATTCAATTGGCACACCTTAAATAAGTAGCAAAACTGAATGAATGACATTCAGAATTCAACTTAGCTTAAATAACACTAAGCTTAAAAACTTCATAGTAACAAAGGCACAATGAGAGTCCACATATCATTTTTTCCCCTTTACAGGAGAACAAATCAACATAAGGTCCAATTGAAACAACAATATTCACTGGCTAAGTGGAGAAAGAGTGTTAAAAAATTTTATTAATTGAAAAGGGCTCACATATGGGATCAGGGCCTAATTTATGTATTCATCACCCTAGCTCAGTTTATTTCATGAAATTTGTCTTCCTTTTGGAAACTTTAAAGTTTCTTAACCTGACACTAGGAATGTCTCATTGATGGAGAAATTAAAAAATAAAAATAAAAGCCCACGAGAAACAGATACAAATGTTAATGAAGACTGGAGAAGAAAGGAGGAAGGACATGCAAATTGAAGCAGGTGTACATAGGGTGCAAATTGAACAGCTGAAGAGAACACAAAATAAACCAATTATCAGTTAGATTGGAGAAATTAAGCTTCAGTGTTTAGATAAACAACTATCAGTTTTCAATCGAGATGTGGATATAAATGAAATGTTCGGTGCTACATTTTAGCTCCCTTTTGAAAATGTACCCTTTATGACCTTCAGCATCCAAATTGTTCTCCACGGAAAATCAATCCAAAACTAAACCTTTGTAGTAATGTAATCTCTTTTAGGACATTCTCTAACAAACCCAACAAAAAATACAGCATTTTCCACTATTTTATATCTTAAAAACATGACATTGTAAAACAAAGTACAGAAAAAGATAACATTTTTCGTTTGTTTCACGGGTAGTGCAATGAAAATGACCTGGGTCTATCGTGCAAGCTCCACCACCTCCATTTAAGAGAGATAGGAGCTCACAGAGAGGAAGACTGAGCTCAAGTGTTTCTTGGAAGCAGCTCTGGAAGAAGAAGAGGGTGAGCGGGATATGGTTGTTTAAAATTTTTACGAAAAATAAAAATAAAAAAAGTTTTTTTTGAAAAAAATAAATAATAATATAATTCTATACTTTGTGGCAGTGGTTGACTGTTGACTTAAAAGTTAAAGACAGTTCATAATTAAGTAAGAAGTGAATGAGTGGATGTTTTTTTATTTGGATTCAGGGTAAGATTGTTTGTGAGATCTGGTCGTTTAAGGTTTTGAATTACCATTTAAGTTACATATATACCCTTATATAGTCTCTTTTATTACAATTATTTGCTTGTTGACTATACAGTTTCGATTCAAGGGTAGTTTTAGGTTAAAATCTTTTTGTGAAATTGATTGGAGGGTAGATTCTTCAAAGTTGAAAATGGAATAAGCACAGATCTATTGTGTCGAATGCTTTTCTATTCATCTCTTTTGCAACCAAAAGAAAAACTACACGTTATAATCATTGGTTAGAATGTAACACATTCAACTTTACTACAAATGCATACAGAGTTTATGTTAATAAGTGCTTGAAGATATTGGTTCAGAAGTGTTAAATTTATTTTATTAAATGTTAATTATTTTTAAAAATTAAGCTATTTTATCTAATATATGTCTTTAATAAAAATATATTAGTAATTACATTCAAATACAATAAAAATTATGATAAACGTATTAACAATATTTTTAATAAAAATATTAATTATTTAATTCATATTTTCAAAACAATAATTAATATTTTAAGAAATATCAATATCAACTATATTTTTTTTAAATATAAAAAAAATTTCTCACACATAGATATTTTATCTATTAACAAGTTTTTCATATATTAAAGTACGATTTATACACATTTGGAATGTTTAAATTATAAAAAAACTATAATGTTTTTTTACGATAAAAAATATAATATATATCAAATTTATCATAAAAATAAAATTATTGAAATATATTTGTTAAATGTGTATTCTAATTTTTTAATAATTAATGTCCATGCCCTACTTTGTTAATGAGTAAATAAAAAATTCTGTTTGATTAAATTCACGTTATAAATACTTTTATTTGTGACAAATTTTTTGCTACTAATATTCTTAGATATGAATAATTTTAATTTAAAATTGATAAAAATAAAAACACAAATAATTAGATAACTAATTAAAAAGAAAAATATTTAAAGCTTATAAAACATATTACACGGCAAACAGGCAAAAAAAATAAAAAATGAGTACGTGTAGATTAATCATGTTAAATATATTTACCCTATCACAATATTTATAATAGTAAATATTATCAGTTTTATTTTAAAAAATATAGTTATTATTTAAATTTATAATTTTTTAGGTGATATGAAATTAATTAATATAATTATTGATGTAATTTTTTATTTAATAGATTAATTTTATAAAATTTTAAATAAATAAAATTATTGAGAATTCTGTTACATTACTTTATTTTATTGGATAATATATTTTAAAAATATAAATAAATATTTTCAAATATTTAAATTACAAAAATTTTAATATATATATAATTTAATTTAATAGTTAATAATTAATTTTATATTTTATACAAAATCATTAAAACAAAAATGTTTAAATTTAATATATGATGTCAAATTTTATGCATGGAAAGAAAGTCATATCCATAGAATAAAATATCGATACTTATATATTTATTTAACTTTTTTTATAGAATACAATATTAATTAATTTAATTATTTTAAAGGTTTTTATCAAATTGAACAATTTTATGAATAAAATAAAATAAAATAATATTTTATTCTATTATTTTTATTTTAACTTGTGATATTTTTAAAAAATATTAGTAAATATAAAATTTTAGATAATATACTTCTAAATATTTAAATTGTGTAAAATTTAATATATATATATATATATAATTATAAAATTAATATAAAATTATTCAATTTTGCATAATGTTATTAAATAATGTAACTACTTAAGTTTGACAGTTAATGTTAACATTTGACATTCTATTTAATTCAAACAGGATGATAATTTAGATAAAAAAATTAAATATTAATTTTTTAATTTTATTAAATACATAATTAAATAATAAATTATTTATTTAATATATTGTTAAATAATTAAAATTTAGATAAAATAAAGTGGATAAAAATATAGTATAATTTTGATATCTCAAATAAAAAAAATTACTCTTCTAATATTGTTTCAAAATAGCATTTTATATTGATCAAACAATCAGGATAAATAAAGTTAATATAATAAATAAGTTAAAAAAATTTATATTAGTTATAAAATAATTAATTTTTAAAGTGCTATTTTTTCTATACTCAAGACGAACACAAAAAAAATACAAAATACAAAATACTCTTTTCACGTGTTCAATACTAGTATAACTCTTGTTACTTGGACCGTCTAAAAACTAAAATTAATTAAATAAAAGGAGGAAGATTGATATTGTAATATTTTAAATAAATTATAAAATTATAAATAATAATGTAATTGTAGATAAAGGAAGAGTAATGTTTATATTTTAAATTAATTTTATATTAATTATAAAAAATCTAAATCAGTTTAAAAATTCATATTTAAATTATTTTTTACTTATAAAATTCAACCATTTTTTTACCTTTATAGTTATAAATTAAAAAAATACACAAAATTTTAATTTATACAAATTATATATCTATTTTATATAAATTTTTTTAATTTATTTTAAAGGAATTTTGGATAAAAAAAATTCTAAAATTGTAATATTTTGTCTATTTTTTTAGTATCGTTTAAGTTTTTATGCTTCATAATTTTTGTGAAAAATAAGTATATTAAAATATTTTATAAGATAGTTTAGGTGTTAGACTTCGTATTAACTAAGATTTAATTAATATAACTTTTATTAGTGTATCTTAAACTTTGAAATATAAAATTGACGACGTTAATGAGGAAGTTTTGAATGTTTAAAATTGAAAGAAAAATAACCTTACACCTAATTTTCTTTTGGCAAAAATATTGAGAAGTTTTGTTGACTGTGGTGTGAATGAGTAACATAAACTGGATTCTCGCGCTCGATCGTTCAATCAATTTAAAGCCTTAAGTACTCGACCGTTTGTCGTTTCCCCGTGTTGTCGATTCAAACGTTGGTAGCTCGAGTGTGTGAAAACCAAGAACATCCAAATTCAAATCTTATGTGATAAACACGCTAATCTCTGATTAAAGAAGGGAATGAGTAGTTAAAACGTTGTTAGAAGAGTAAAAGCTATGCAACGCCATTAAAAATCTTGAAAGTTTTTGAACCATAGAGGAACAAGATTAAAGGAATCAATTTAATATCATAAGCACGTGACTTTGCAGCTTTGACAGGTGTATGAACAGCGTAGCTTATCTATGCCCCAAATACGTGAAGGGCACCAACCCTTCGACATAAGTCTTACTGTCCTACCTACTTTGAATAATGCCCTAGCGTTAGAGTACTATTATACCACAATCATATTTAAGCTCGCAATTTTAGTTTATTTTATATAGTATAATAATCATATAGAACACTTGCATACCAACTAAGGATGAATTATAATCAAAGGGTAAGTGAGCATGTTTTCTAATTACACAAATTCATGATCTAAACGATTTTATCCAATAGGATATAATATGAATATGATTTGGTTAAGGGTTCACTTTGCATCACATGATGCTATTGGGTAGCTTGTGGACCACAATTACACCACTGGATCCAAATTGAGATTTAAATTTCTTTGTTGCTTCATGAATTATTGGTTGGTCACGCGGGACGAAGATGACAGTAATGAAT